AACGCCCAACACACACGCACACACTGGAGCTGCTTTCAAAGCGCAGCTTTCAGCTTCAATGGCGTACCAACCCAGGGCCCGGAAGAGGATCCGTGCCCTCTGCCGTGGCCCCGACGGCAGTGCCTTCCGGAGATGGTATTCCTATTGTTTTTGTTACATTTGATTTTGATTTTTTTTTTTTTTTCGCTTCAATGTTTAATCTCGCCGGTCGATGTTGGGTTTCATCTTTCTAAGATTTCAATTGCTTGTTTCCGCGTGGCCCTGTTTGTATCCCGGCAGCGAAAGTTGCGGGCTTTCTGTGCCGATTGCTTTGATTGATATGCATGTGTGTGAAATCGAGAAAAATGCGAGGAAGAAAGCTAAAAGCAGCTGTGTGAGTGAGAAAGTTGAGGAGCAGAGGTTTGAGGACCAGCCCAGATCGGCTTTTCGATTTTTCATGTAAAATCATTTTTTTCCCTTTTTATCGCTTTTGATTTTTGGTGCCATTTTTTTTTTTTTTTTCCAATTTGATGTTGTGCCTGTCCATTTGTTCTCAAATCAAGAAAATGATGGGTTCTGTTTATTTGATTAGGGGTGTTGATGGTTAAGGAATTTCTGTTCTGTTCACAAGTTGGCTAATTTTACTTGATATGCTATATATGCTATGAGTATTATTAGTTTTGGTGCTTCGAAAGTTGCTGCTTGGAAGTAAGTGGGAATCTTGGTTCCCCTTTGAATTTGTGCAACAATTTGTTTCGTAGAATGATGAAGAGTTTAACTGTTTTAACACTTGCATGTCACTTGAGCTACAAAAGTTCATGAATCATGAGAAGCTAAGATATATGTGCACCTTTCTTAGATCTTCCATTCGAGCACATTTTGGCCCGGTAATTGAAAAACCAGGAAAATTTGCGGAATTTGTCTTGTGAGGCTGTGAAGGCATGCTTGACCTATGCCATGTTTGGTGACTTGTGTAGGGAAGAACTTATGAAGACATGCAAAGGTGAAAGCCGATTTGAGATAGAAAAGAAAGGATTTGTGGATTGGAAAACCATGTCAAAAGAGGTAACTTTTCCAGCATCATAACTATGTGAATATGAGTTATAACTTCTGAGTATTCATATCTATGTAGGGTATGCAATCTAACTTTATTAGTTTGGATTTGTTGCTTTTATAGGAAAGGTTACCTTTTTGTCTTAAAGCAGATAAAGTAAACTCGGCTTATGAGAGGCTGCTGCAAAAGGAGGAAGATGAGATTCAATTGGTACGAAGATGAGATTCAATTGGTACTTATAAGATCTTTGTTTATGAATTCATGTTATTGGATATCGGTTTTAAAGAAAAATCTGCTAGCATTTTAGATTTCATATGCTAGTTGATCATTCTTCAGAAAAAGATGATATTAAGCAATAATCAACTTAGAGGTGAATAATGCAAGTATAGTCACTAATGTATATAAGGTGCACATTTCTGTTGAATGTTTTGCACAATTTTCAGTCGACGTCATTGTTTGAACATACAGGGGATGTTTGTTAAATTTGTGAATGACTTATATTAAGGTGTTGGGTTAATTTTAATTGGATGAAACAAGGGGTTGGCTGGTGGAGTTTTATGATGCTAGTAATGGCAGTATTATAAGCAATGTAATCGAAATTTAATAGACTTCTTAGTACTTATCTTTTTCTAAAAAGCAAAGATTTCCATACAACTTAGGATCTATTTAGCTCTCTAACAGCTTAAACCCGGTTTTACAAGTGTTTTACGATTTCCCTGACACTCTCATACAACTTATGTACAGCTAGTATATATATCCCGAGAGTTTCTCTTATAAATATTTGAGAATTGTTGTTATTTGGGTTGGTTCTCCTTTGGGTCGACTGGTAAAACTTCAACCTTTTTTGATTTGTAAATATATATGCTTTATTTTCTGCTATAAATATTTGAAGTAGCAAAAATGTGAGGGATTAAGAAATTGCCATGATGAAATTGTCATTTGTAGGTGGATGATGGAGCAGATTCAGCTGAAGTTGGCAAATATGACGAGGTCTGATACATATTTTCCCCTGTGACTATTTTTTCCGGTTTATAGTAATTCGAGCTTTATAAGATTATCTTAAAAGTATAAGTTGAATTTGATCACAGGATTATGTGAACCATGAATTTTATTCTGATTCTGAAGGCTCTGATGAGCTTCAATTTTCTCATTCCGGTACTCACTGGAGCTTCTGCTCTGAAGATTCGTTTGTCGGTATGTGATCTCCATTTTTCGCCTTTCTGTTACTGTTTACTTTCCAATAAGAAGTAAAGGTATAAACAAGTAGATTATTGGCAATGCTGAATTTTCAAGGGATCGATTGTAATACCATAAGGTTGCCTGTGGAATGCAGCTATTTGGTACTTCCGGGAAAGAACTTGATTTTTTAGTCACAGCGGGCTAAAATGATGATCATTTTAATTTATTTTTATTTCATTTCTGCGTATCTGTATTATTAATTAGACTGAAGTACTTGTTTGTTGTGATATAGGTTTCGAGCATTGCTTTGATCGAACATGATTATTCTGCCGGTTCACATGTGTGGACCATAGGCACATTTTTGTAGCAATGGCTTTAAAGCTTTTTAAAGTCATTGCATGCATGTGGCAAGGCATCTGGGCTTGGCTATTTTGTAAGTAAATATGTGAAGTTTGATTTATGGTTTAACAATTTCTGTTTTTGGTGAATGTAAAAGGAAAGTGTAATGAATTGGTAAAACTATGTAGATGGTGGTGTAATGCATTATTTCTTGTTTTGGGGATGAATTTAGTAGGTTTTGTTGGCTGTTCAAAGTTTTGAGCATTTTTTCACATTTATTTGTAATTTTTGATGCTTTTAAGCACTAATTACATTCAATTGCATTATATTTTACTAAAAAAAAATGAAAAAACTCAAATAATCCTACAGTCATTCACAATTTTAATTGTTATAAATTTCGTTTCAAAAGAAAAAAAAAAAATTATATATCCCATAATATCAAAATTGTATGACTGAAAGCAGTTTACAATTGCAAACAAACAAATAAAAAGGCTTATGGGGTGATTATTTACAAAATAATTTACTTACTTTTATTTCAACTCAAAATCTAACTCAACTTTAATCCAATCCCACTATCTTTAATATTATTCATATAATTAAATAATACAAATCAATCATACTTACACATCACATCAACTTTAGTTCACTATTCATCCACTCACATAATTTTAACTACCTATCATTTTCAATCATTTCCAATCATTTATCTCTTACTTTTACATCAAATCAATTTTAATTATTTTATTTTAAATATTATTTTAATACATTTTTAAAATTCCACTATAACTAACCATAACACATTTTTCAAAATTAACTATAGTTAACCAAAATAACTCAATTTGAACAAATTATTTCATAAACAATCAAGCCCTTAGGGTAATACGTGGGCTTATTTTATAGGTAATGCATTGGAAAATTGATTCAATTAGCAGCTTTTACTAGCTAATTGGACATATGAATAAATATTTGGTAAATATTTATAGACTAAAAAGATTAAAATTTCATTTCTTTTTTATTTTAAAAGGAACTTCTATATTGATTTTTATTCAACATTACTCTTTTAGATCCAAAAAAACAATTCAAGTAAACAGGGATTGGAACATTGTGATGAGATGAAGCAATCCCCTCTTTAGATTTTCTCGGACTCATTATTGATGGTACAAGCAATTGTCAACATCAATGAGTCACGTGGCTATACTCGCTCGTGGGCTAGTGATATTCGTATTTTTTTGTTTGAAGCATTAGAAACAACAAGACAAATTTATCATATGCATTGATCGGCAAACAAAATTGCTCATGCTATTGCATCTTTTGCTTCTTTTTCTAGCTCCCCTTTCTTTTGGATTTCCTTCTTGGCTTAAGGATCTTGTATGTAACGATACTCTCTTGATCACTTAATATAAGTTCCTTGGCCAGTAAAAAAATGGATAGGATAGCATTTACATAATTAATGTATATATAATAATATATATATAATTTTATTTATAATACTTATTTATCTATTTTATGTTTATAATGTAAAAATAAAATTGTTAAAATTTAAGAAACTAAAATTAATGAAAAGAAGAGTGTTATAATATGAAAAAAAATATTAAAATTTGATTTTTTTTAATGCTCATAGTATGTATATATTATGCATATTGATAATAAATTGAATCATACTGCAAGTATTTCTAAAATATATTCAAAATGTTAATGTAAGTAATATGTTTATAAAAAAGAATATTGGTAATACATTCAAATGAAATGATTTTACAAAAGTAAAATTACCAAACTTAGTAATAAAAGATGGAAATCCATAAATATTGTAAATAAATATATCACAAACCATGATACTAAGTATTATTTTTCTTCTAATTTTTTTTATGTGTACAATTTATCATTTTATAGTTAATTATACTATATGTCTTTTAAATCAAATTTAAAATAATAGTGTTTTAATTTGTAAAGTTATAAAATATGTGAACAATATTGAAAATTATAAAAATAAAAGTTAATATTTAGAAAATATATCTTTTTAACTGAAGAATGAATTTAATAGTTGGAGAAGACTCATTGTACTGTAATATTAACAATACTATTAATTTATTACAAACCTCAATTATGGTTAAATGTTCATATTTGAACATAAATAATGTAAATTTATTCGAGAATTTAAAAAAAAAAAAAAAAATTGAGGCAAAAGAGAACAAAAAAAGCTCATAAAGTAAACCTACCTTATTGGACATATAAAGTAAAACAGCCTTATTGGGCTCATAAGCCCACTTACAGACAGTTTTCCTATTTTGATGAACTCTGCAAGAGCTCGTGACCTCAAAAATGGAGAATGCTCTGATCTTCAGAAGCCTCTATTTGCTTCACTCCGCTCCGACGTCGTTTCCTTCCCACGTCCCGACCAGACTCAAATTATCGGTACTATCTGTTCTTATTCAGGGTTAATTGCTCTGTTTCGTTATCTTTTCCCGTGATTTTTCACGTTTTTTGAGGCGTCGATAATCTATGCAAGCAGAAGCTTGAAAGCTCAGTTTCACCTGGGCGACATCGAGACAAATCTCTACTGATAACGCAAGCTTTCGGGTCGGGTAAAAACGGGCAGCTTAACGGGTTTCCGAATCTCCCCAACAAAATTTTCATGGAAGAGGTGCCTTTTGCTTTATTCCATAAATTTTTTATTCTCAAAACAGAGAGGAGAATGGTCTAACATCTTATTTTATTTGAAATTTCTTTATGCAGCCATCTATTTTTAAGTGTAGAGTGTTTTTTTTTTTTTTTTTTTTTTT